GTTTTACTTCTTCTTTATCAGTAAGAACTACCACAGTTAGGGAGGTACTGGAAGGGGGCCAGGTGCAATCATACAATTTGCTTGATTGGTCCTCAGTTTTTCCACGTTGCAAAATGCTTGAAGATTTTGGTGCTTTAAGAACTTGGGACAACTGAGTTTCCTGCCCCTCCCCATTTAATCCAAAAATACAAATTCTTCCCTTTTCTGGATTTCTGGATTTAAGTTTACTTGATATGTTTTAAAGCAAATATTTACCCCGAAGGACTCATCCATTTGTGAAATTTTAAGCACTACCCTATAAAGACTCATTCCTTCCAAAAACATCCTGTGCTCACACACTATGTGCCAGACACAGTATATATTTTTTACTTGCCATTTCTATACCAGATGAGACACTACTAAGTACTTGGTATACATTTTCCTAATTCATCCAGCTATAGCATCAATGTCCTTCCTAATATGATATTTCAGCCATTTAAGAGTTAGTTACGTAGTATATTGGTGGAGACATAACAGTCTTGTATATCATGCTTCTGATTTGTTGTGTTTATGCAGGATGATGGCTGGCTTATCGTAGAACAAATATGTGTGAATATAAGGAATGTTTGCTGTGTGCCACAAACCATGAAATTTACATTATGCCATTAATTATCACATTTAATTTTCTTACAAGCCTTGTGAAGAAAATATTATTAAGTAGCTTTATTTTGCAGATGAGGAGACCAAAGCTCAGAGAGGTCCCACAGATGACAAATTGTGGGGCCTGACTCTGGAGCCTGAGGTCTGCTCTGCCATGTTATCAACTCAATACAATTCAATGTATGTGTTTGGCTCATTCATTTATTCATCAAACATTTTTCAAACCTCTATTAAAATGTCAGGCACCCAAAACAATGTAATATGCAATAAATTCAGCAGTGGGTTTTTCTGAGAAATAAGGTAGAGCTATTAGGTTCTTTGACTAGCAACTAGTTAATAACCCCTCCCCAAAAAGCAATAGATTTTTCTGGTTTTTTTGATATCAATACATCTGACTTTGTTTCTTTTTTTTGGAATGAAATGGTTTGCTTCCCACATCTGGCTAATCAATCGTAACTTATGTTCTCACCAAATGGAGAGAATTATTCCAGCCAGTATTGAAACCTCAGCAAATTGGGAGCAAAAGTATGCTGCAATTTGAAGTATAAAGGTATTTATAGGATCGTTATTTGCTGTAATTGGGGGGATTCTGGAGTACTTTGAGTTACAGAACTGCCCTTTCGTAGATATTTCTATACTTTCCAGGATTTAGGAGTGCATCACATTGGGAATGCAAAAGCAAAAGGGGTCTGGAGCTTACACGTGCCACTTCTATGTTCTGATTTAAAACCTCTTTGCTTGTGGTTAAGTTGTTGGGAAGAGGTAGTCAGGCAGACAAAGCTTCCGAAAAAGAAATAGGGTGGTTATCTTGTCACGTTTGCTTATGTTTCAGATTTCACAATGACTCTTCATACAGCACCCCTGCTGGACACTCTTAGTCCAAATCTTTTTCTTTGATTTCAATATGATATGTAAATTCCAGAAGCCCTCTTATGAGTTTTGTTGCCAAAATACTAAAACATTCAAATATTCTCCTAAAATCTTAACACATGTGGTAGTAGGACAGGCTACACTAAAACTAAGTTGTTCAATTTCCTTTAACAGTGATAGTGCCTAGAATAAGTAGAAAGCAATACGTGTATTCGTCTGGAAGCTGGAGGATCCCAGCTGACATTTAAATACATGATCATCCCGGCAGTTCAGGGAGGAAATAGCTGCACCAGGGCCAGGTTCCTGGCTTGCCACACGGGGAGGGCTTTGTGCAGTTGAATAAACAGAGATCTCTCACGTGATAGCATGATGGCTTTTAGAGAAGGATGAAGTTTCCTTCTGAAGTCCATTGAATGGAATTACTTTACTATGAGGAAGGCAACTCTCAGGCAGAAAGACACAGGGCTTGCTTTTCTACTGGTTCAGCAGGGTTCATGGTCAAAATATTTTGTCATCTTGCTTTAAGGTAACAGGCAGGTATATCTCAGCGTGTATTTCTTTTCCTTTCCCTCTCTTTCTTCCCCTTTTCCTCTTTCGTTTTATGTAAGCTAAATTCAGTCTACTTTTTAATTACATTAAAATTTTTAATTGACAAATAATAACTGTACATATTCATGGGTTGCGCAGTGATGTTTTGATACATATAAAGTATAATGACCAGATTAGGGTAATTATTCATAGTATATCCATCATCTCAAGTGTTTATCATTTCTTTGGGTTGGGAACGTTCAATTTCTGAACTTACTAAAAAAGATCAAACCAGATCAGCTCTGGTTTGATGTGATTACTTTTCTGTAGCCGAATTCATTGCAACCACTTCTCAGTTGAGTCATATTAGCGCAGGGTTTGCCAAGTTTTGGGAGGCAGAAGCAGATTCTGCCTACTGAAGGTGAAAAACGATCTCCTCCAAATCCGTGCTGGCAGACAGAAGCCGTTTTCCATTGCTCATAGGTTCGGTCACCAGCTGGTACATGCTGAACAGTTTCTCTGTTGCATGGAAGATATTTATTTGTAATAGCCTGAGATAACTAGAACATTACTGCTATTGTGACTCCTTTTGGCTAATTGGATTGTTGCATTTAATTTAATGGCTATATAAATACAATGATTACTCAGTCACATTTTAGGAATTGGCATAAGTTAGAGATGCTTCTGGAGTTGTGATCTGCAGGAATTTTTTTTTTTTTTTACTCCCTCTGGAAATAATTATATTAAGATGAGTTGCTATAAACGTTAAATCATTTAATATGAAAAGCAGTGGTCTACAACCTTTTTGCCACCAGGGAGTGGTTTCATAGAAGACAGTTTTTCCATGGGTTGGGGAAAGGGATGGTTTGGGGATGAGTCAAATGTGTCAACATTTATTGTGCACCTTATTACTATCATTACTAAACTGTTAACCTCTCTGCTAATGATAATCTGTATTTGCAGCCTCTCCCCACTGCTAGCATCACTTCAGCTCCACCTCAGATCATCAGGCATTAGATTCTCTTAAGGAGTATGCAACCTAGATCCCTCGCATGTGCAGTTCACAGTAGGGTTTGCGCTCCTTTGAGAGTTTACTGCCTGGTGATCTGGCAGGAGGCGGAGCTCAGGCGGGGATGTGAGCAATGGGGAGCGGCTGTAAATACAGATGAAGCTTAGCTCAACCGCCCGTCACTCAGCTCCTACTGTATGGCCTGGTTGCTAACAAGCCGCAGAATAGTACCCATCTGAGGTCCAGGGTCTGGGGATTGCAGATATAAAGGACAGGCATTATACAAGAAGATGGGACATAACTTTCCTAATAGTTCCCATTCTAAGCTTCCTTTATTTCGACCATATTAGAAATGGCAACAAAGTGGGATCCTGTTATAATGTGCCCTATTATTTATGAAAGTAAGATATTGTATAAATTAAAACTGAATCTTCTTTAAAACATATAAAGATACTACATTATCCTTATCCTTGACATCAGTATCATACAAAGGAATTTGTTTCCTTCATCTTTTGTGGCTTAAGTGCAAAGAACTATATGAAGTGCCCAGCACATTACATATAATCAGTAAATAGTATTAAGTTTGTGACTCCAGGAAGACTGAGGCTGCTCAGAGGGTGAGAGGTTGAGTACAGTGACTTAGGTTTAGGAAGTTGCTTTGTGCCGTGATTGTGGCTTTTTCGAGTTCATGGATCTACCAACTGTGTACCTGAAAAATTTCTCTGCCTCTGAATTGCTGACTGTAGTATTAAGAGACAAGACTCAGGGGAATGGGAGGAGAGGGACTCACAATGGCTTAACAATAAAAGGGAACTTAGTGTATCATATAACTGAAAAGCCCACTGACGACACAAGTTTCAGCCATGGCTGGATCCACGTACATAAAAGTTATTATCAGGATACAGTCTTTTGTTGAATTTCTACATTGTTCCCAGGCCATTTGCTGGGATTACAATGGATACTTCACTATGCACTCACTAAGGAGCTCATAGTCTAGTAGATGACATGCATAAAGTAAAAAAGATTTATAGTATGATGTGATATGTACATAATAGATGTACTTACAAATTATAACCATAACTCAGAGTGGGGGAAAAGCAAATTCTTCTGAGGAGAGGTAAACAGGAACTTCAGAAGTTAAAGCTTGAACATTGTTTCGAAGTAGAAGCAGGGATTTTACTGACAAGGAAATTGTATAAAATGGTTAATTGCCATGGTTATGGCATTTGGGAGATATATATTCAAATCCCTTCTCTGCCACCTCCCAGTTGCACAAATGGTGACAAGTTTCCTAAACCCTGGAGGAGTCTTAGTTTCCTTGTATGGAAGCCGAAGATGGAACAAATGAGTTTGTAGAATTATCATGAGGACCATCAAGATGATAGGTGCATAGAAGTCAGGTGGGGGCATGCACAGAGTCAGTCCTTCTTTGCCGATCACTGTCATTCCACGCTGATAGCACCCCCTATAGTGTTGAGTGCTCTCACTTGGAGCTTTGGTTCAACATCAGCCATGGGAAATTGGCTAGCATTTACTGAGTGCTTACTGTGTGTCTCCTACGACATTAAGAATTTCACTTGACTTATCTAAATCCTCCCTGTAACTCTAGGTTGTAGGAAATTATCCTCATCCCACAGATGAGGAAACCGAAGCTTTGAAAATGTAAGGGACCCGCCAAAGTAACAAGTTTAATAAATGGTGTAGCTGGGTCTTCCTGACTCCAGTGCTTAAGCATTATACTATATTTATTTTTACACAACATACCATTATTCATTTCCTCCCTTCAGTGGACTTGGCTTTGGGCTGCTCATTTTGCAGCCCAAGCTGCGTGCCACCCCGCTTCTTCTAAAAGCATTGTTCTGTGATGCTTGTTTGTGCGTGTGCAAGTGCTGTGTTGCTGCTCCACGCTGAGCCGGCTGGCATTAACCCCTTGGATGCTGTGCTTCCGTTGCAGGTGAGCCTTCCAGGTGGTCATCCTCACACTGTGATTGCTGCTGCAAGAACGGCAAGGGTGACAAAGAAGGGGAGAGCGGCACGTCCTGCAACGACCTCTCCACCTCCAGCTGCGACAGCCAGTCTGAGGCCAGCTCTCCCCAGGAGACGGTCATCTGTGGGCCTGTGACGCGTCAGACCAACATCCAGACTCTGGACCGCCCCATCAAGAAGGGCCCGGTCCAGCTGATCCAACAGTCAGAGATGAGGCGGAAAAGCGATCTGCTCCGGACTCTGACTTCCGGCTCCAGGGAGTCAAACATGAGCAGTAAAAAAAAAGCTGTTAAAGAAAAGCTCTCCATTGAGGAAGAGCTGGAGAAGTGCATCCAGGATTTCCTAAAGATCAAAATCCCAGATCGCTTCCCTGAGAGAAAACATCCTTGGCAGTCTGAACTTTTACGGAAGTATCATCTATAGGGGAGGGCTGGGGGGTGGGAAAAGAAAAAAAAATATCAGTCACCATTTTGAAATAAACCTCCTAAAGAATTCATATTTTAAAGGGAAAAAAAAATCACAACTAACGATAACATATTTGTTAGAACACAATAGTCCATTGATACACTACTGCCTACTTTACCTAGTTCACCTTAACATGTAAATCCACAGGGTAGATCTCTTTCTAGATGTGGAAATACAAGAAAATCTTTTTTTGTCGTGTGTTTGTTTGTTAACTTGGTCCCATGTGCTAAATATCTTATATAAAGCGAAAGCCGGCTACACCGGAGTAGCCGAGAGGCCTTGGGTGTCATTTATCCCAAACTGGGTTTTTTTCCCCTCTCCTCTTCTACCTCCCTCCTTTGAAAGAGGATAATGGTAGATGGTAGAAAGAGATTTGGCCCAATGGCATAGGTTTGGAATTTTTTTTTAATTTTGCTTTTTCTTTTGGTTCATTGGGTAAGTGAGGGGGAGGGAATGGCAGATTTATATGACTTTTCATTCAAATGTATATGTGCCAGTTTATACTGACTCTGTATGCATGAGTATTTGTGCAGCACAAGCACAACTGAGTATGTACATACACACGACGCACATGACGCCAGGGCCTGGGCATCCCAAGGGCTGTGCACCTGCTTCTGGCAGCTCCCTCTCAGAGCACTTCCGACAAACGAGCCTCTGCCTCTTTCTTAACACTCCCCTGGGAAGCCTTTCCAGCCTCTCCATAACATCTTTCTAACATTCAGTGACCCTCATCATCAACTAATTGTCTTCCTTATTTCAAAATTAACACCCCCAGGCTCCATGTGACTGCTTTGCTCTTTCTGTGCATTAGGAGAGGGTGCGCACATAGAACCAGTCGAATGTTCTTGGTCTTTAAAAAAAAGTTCATATCCACCAGAATGCCCACGGAGTGACCCTACCTTTTCAGCCTTTTCTACCCTGAACTGAATTTTTGCCCTCCTCTCAATGTTCTCGGAGTTCTTACTGCCCACATTTTAATGATGTGGCCTTTCCACATAATCCACATTAAGATCCCCGTATTCCGGAGTAGTTGTGGAAATAAGAACAACACACAGTACTTGAATAAGGGTCCAGCATTTTTTGTTTTGTTTTGTTTTGTTTTAGAGGAAATTGTATTCCACACACCTCCTAATGATGTCTCATAACAATTTTAAATTGCAATGCTATATTGTTACTTGCTTCTAGCCAGTTGTGTCTGCTTTTGGCATTCTGCGATTTGGCTGTGTCCATACTAGGAATTATAGCTGTGTCATTGTTATGATGGCTGTAACAACCTAGGTAACTGGCGTTCCAAAGTTAAGGTTTTGGCTTTCTAAATTATCTCTTTTGATTATATATTGGACCTGTATAGACACAGTCAAAAAAAAAAAATCTGTTAATAGCCATCTATCCATGTGACTCTGTATTCTTTAATTGTACCAATAGCTCTTTCATAGACTTGTGCTAAATGAAGGTTAAAAGACCAGTTTTTTATTTTCAGCATTCCTCATGCATTTCAGTGGTAACTGAAGAAAATAATTTGTCAATTATTAATTGTGTGCCAAGCACTTCTAATTTTTTATTTGTGTGTGTGTGTGTGTGTGTGCGTGTGTGTATGTGTATCCCAGGTAATAAAGGCAACTGGATGATGTCTGTAGGAGGAAAAGATAATGACGGATTTCTTCCTTTTGAAATCTTTTACTGATGCATATTTATCATGTAAGAGGTTTTGTCTTGATTTCTGTTACTATTGCCCATTAGTATATGAATATCTTTCTGAATTTTTATATTTCTTGCCTTCACATGCAAATGAAAGGCTTAGCCTATGTTTTCTTGTCCTGAAGGTTTGAATGAAGTTTAAAATTTTACACAAGTGAAAAAGAAAATCTCTTTGGGGAGTTGAGCTGTCAAGAGACTTATAATTTATGAATTTAAGTGATGTCCTTTTCTGTATTAATATATTAGTGGATATTCGATCTTAACTACAACATAGGTTTGTTTATAAAGCCTACCGATATGTTTTCATTCTTTTCAATGTTTCTTGATAGTGCATCAAAACACCATCATCCTAATGGTAGAAGACCCTGCAAAGAATCACAGAGCTTAATGGGTCAAGGAGAAGTTGAATTTGGGGAAAATATCTTCAAACTCACTTTGGTCAAATAACTATTGTGGTCCCTCTGAAAGTGCTGTGAAAGAGTTTAGGATCTAACTAAAACAGCCAAAGTTCCATCTTCCTTAAATTTCAGACCTGACTGTAATGGTATCAAGATAGAGAGACATCTGAGTAAGAAGTGGAGAATTGAGTTGGCAGTCAATGCAATAAATACTTCTACTCCATACTTTAAACAGGAAATTAAACACTGCAAAAAAAAAAAAAAGTGTTCATGACACTATTCCTTCAGCACCTGACCTGTCATGAAATTTTTCTGCTCAGGTATTCTTTATGCCCCTAGTGAATGAAACTAGGAGTAGGAAATCTGTTTAAAACAACCACTGCAATAACAAGAGCTTTTTTATTCTGGCCCATCCCTAAGCTGGCACCCACCTCATGGTGAAAAGTCCAAATAGCTAAGACAATAACATGCTGTTCGTTTGTGTGGTGTGGTATAGAGACAGATATAGACCTGCTCAGTCAAAGACTCTATGGAGCCATCAGGCGCATGGAAATCTTCAGTCCTAGTTTGATTGGAGTTATCAGGTGAGGTCCAGGTGGCCTGCAAGGTTGGAAATGAGGGCTGGGTACGTGAGTTACAGGATTAGATGCTCGAGTAGCCTTGGAAGTCACTGTGAATCAGGCCTCTTTCCCTGAAGTTAACATAGATTTTAGAATTTTTAGTTCAATTCTGAACAGAAAAATATATGTGGTTTGCTTCTTGAGAATTGCTTATGACAAGGGCTATACTCTGCTGTTATAAAGGAACGAATAGCATCAGATGGGGCAAATGAATGGGGGGTCACATATAGATTCCCAACTTAGATTGCCTCCTGGGAAATCATGCAGTGCTAAAATCCAGTGAGGTTGGGGAGATCATTCCCTAAGGATGTGTGGGTCTCTTGAAGTCAGAAACATATTTATAGAGACCTACTATCAGAAAGAGGAAGTGATCTGTGCCCAGCGGGAAAAGAGGAAGACAGGAACATAAAACTTCTAGATCATATGGTAGTGCACTCTTCTTCCCTCCGCTAAGAAAAATTGCACTGAGATGTGGTCATAAAAACAACAAAGTGAAGTGGCTTCCAAAATATGCAGTGATATTATCCCTTGTAATTATTGCACAGTTATCTTACTGGAAATGCATGCATGGTGAATTAAAATAAAAGGGGAAAATGCACAAATCATACGCATTTCCTTTGCTCTTTATTCCTGCACAGTTATGTCTGTTTCAACCACTTCTCTTTGGGGTGACACATTTATTAAAGGGAGCTGACATGGACTTTTTCACTTTTTAATTAGCCTTGTGTGATTCAGAGGAAGCTTTATCCATAGGCACAGGTGTGTTGTTCATTCTGGGCCCTCTTCATTACCACTGCTTGTGTGTCTGGATTACTTTTGCATCCCTGGGTTTTAGATTCTTCTCAGAGTATCCTTTGTGCCAAGCAGAACATTCTCCAGTTAGAAAAAGAAAAGGCATGTATTGTGTTTTACAAAATTACTTGACACTGGCTCCCAGAATGGAAGCCAAACTTAGATTCTCATACATTTTCCTTTGCTGTAAATTTCAAGCTTCCAGCTTTCTATCTACTACAGTGTAGATTTGAGTTATTTGAATGGTGGTATTTTCTGCCAATAGATACCATGCTGTGGAATTTGACTAACCTTGGTCTTCTGGATGATCTTTACTAGAATTAATAAGATTGTTCTGTGAACTTTTAGGAGGAATTCTTTGTCATCTCCACTTGACATAGCAATTTTCAAAGGAAAAAATGAAGAAAGTTTATTTTTTTTCTCCCTGGTGACTCTGTGGCAGATAAATGTTTTTGCCAATTTGCATGCTGGGTTATAGGTTTAGCATGGGCCATTTCTCTCTTTAATGTCTTGGTATTGTTGTTGTCTTGTGATCTTCATGGCCCAGTGTTCCAATTTATTTATTTTCTTTTATATTGTCAAAATAACACACTAGAGAAAGAGTCAGAGTGAGCATTCTGCATTCTGAGTTACAATGGAGTTAGATGTCATTTGTACAAGACTATAGAATGATTAATATCTGCAGAGAAATTAGACCAAATGAAACCTGCTGGAATAGGTTTGATTTATATTGCTTTCATCATTCTGGTTTTAGATGAAATGGTTATTGCTCTCCACCCCTGCTGAAAGAATAGTCTTAAACTTTAATAGTCACAGACTTGTGATACAAACACAGAGCTTATTTGTTTGAAATGTCTCTTTTCCTTATCTTGTTGTATACATTGGAATAGAGATTGTTTTCCCAGTGACCTCCATTGCAAACTTTTTAGCAGCATTTCTTAATACTCATTAGGCACACAAATCATTTGCAGCACTGGTGTATGTGAAAATGCAGATTCCTTCACCCAAACGTCAAAGAGTCTGATTCAGAAACTTGAAGGAGGGCCAAGAAATCTGCATTTTGAGCTAGCATCTTTAATGATTTTGGTGAGGATTATCTGTAGACCTTACTTCGAGAAACTCTGCTGTTTAGGGAGTATGAGTCAACGTTTCCTTTGCTTCCTAAAAGCTCTTCCTCATTTCCTCTTGCTTTCTTCCCACTACAAATAAGTAAAAGCATGAATTATTCATTATCTTAAGAGAAAAGGCCCAAAGAAGAACATCCTAGGACTAGGGCATAGTAGATTTTCAGAATCCTTTTGCCATTTCATCTGTCTGTCAACCATAACCCCTCCCCCATCCCATATTGTGTGTGTGTGTGTATGTTGCCAGACTGAAAGCCTGCATCATTGTAGTTTAATCTCTGGGTAGATGGGAGCACATCTCGTAGTGAGATGTATCCTAATGTCCTAATGATACTCAGCAAGGAATGAAAATAATGACCTTTCCCTAGGGGAGCTGTTTATTTCTTGGCCTTTCCTTGGTTTGAGTCAGAGTAACTTGAGAGTAATCCATAATTTAATGATATATATGGCCCCATGGGTGGTTCCATTAACTGCCCATACTATGTCACAAAAATGAATATGGGATGATTGCTGAATTCCACTATATTTCTTCCATAAAATCTTAAGCCATTCAACTGCTACATTTGTCCAATTTGTCTCAAGCAGGACTATGAAGGTCTTAGATAATTGAAGATACTGAATCCTAATATTAACTGAAAACTTGGAGCAAAACCCATGTATTAGAATAAATGCAAAAGGAAGAAATAAGGATGAATTAAAAATGGTCATATTAAATATGTAATGCCACAAAAAGAACTAGGTTTTATAATTTTCCAGTTGCTCTAACCAGGAGGGAGACAGAACAGACATACTGTAATTATTCAAACAGAAGAAAAAATTTGGAGGGTTTCAATGATCTAGTCGATCGTATCCATATAACAGAATAAATGCCAAATTTCCACATCACAAGAAATAGAGGGGGAATGGCTTAAATACATACTAGTCATGATCATGAGTGGACATTTAAGTAAAGGTTACTGACAAAGAAAAGTGAAGAATGGTTAACGAAACTGATTAATTTGAGCAGCTAATTAAGATTATTTGGCCAACCTTTAAAAAAAAAGTTCAATTTGATTGAGTTTGTTGCCCTCCTTTGTCTAGTTCCCAAGAGGGATCTATTGTCTGCTCCAACTTCCTAACCTTTAAAAATCGTTCCTCTTGTTTATGAACAAATTTTGTTCTTAATTGGGCAAAGAATTTTAAGTTCCTAGGCTGTTACCTTTCTTTTAATAGGAAATTTACCTTTATAGAGATTTTTTAAAGAAGTGTCCTGGGCCAGCAACTATCCAGGCTTTGCCCTGGAGAAGGGTGGGGTGATCTTCCTGCTAATAGTCCCTGTGAAAGCACTGTGAAATCCTAAAGGATTTCTGTGAATCCTTTAGGCTACCTAAAGGATTCATTGTCCCCTTTCTCTAGGGACCTCTTCCATCTTATCAGTTTATTCTTAGAACTGACCTTTAGCTGGTTTACCTTCATTTGCAAAATAAAAATCAACAAAACTTCAGATTCTCTCTCTGCTGACTTAGGCTCCATCCATCACAAATGGAAACAGAATTGATGCTCAATAAAGCAGTGGAGGAGGGTTGCTTTGGAATTGCATCTGTGTGTGTGTGTGTGTGTGTGTCTGTGTGTGTGTGAGTGTCCATAAAGCCATGAGCAGTTTCTAGATTAGTGTTGGGTCAGCAGCTAATGTCCTTGGAAGAGCTATCTGAGTGCATGGGAAAAGTCTTTGGTTACAAAGTTTAACCATTTTTTAGTTCAACACAATAGTTCATCTTTCCTATGGGTGTCAGTCTTTGAGATTGATAAGGAAAGCCAGTCTCCTGATGTGAAATTCAAGCTATAAAGATTTCTGGGGGTGGGAGGGGGGGGAATGCATTTTCATTCACATAAGGAAGAATGACATCTTACTGAAAAAAGAAAAAGAACAGGAAAGAAAAGGAATTTATTTTTGAAAGCTCAAATAGATGTAGAATTCACATGACTTATCAGCAATCTTTCTCAATTGCAGCCATTGGCCAGTGGTTTATCTATTCGTTTATGTGAGAGACAGATGGAGACAATTTCAAGAAACTCTCTTGTCTGATTTGTGTGAGTTACGTGCGTTAAGACAGTGGTTCTCAACCAGGGGTGGTTTTGCACTCAAAAAGTCTTTTGGCAAAGCCTGGAGATACTTTTGACTGTCATGACTTAAGGTGTGATATTGACACTTCATGGGTAGAGGCCAGAGATGCTGCTACAGACCCTACAAGCCCGCTCAACAAAAATAGTCTCCATCCCAAGACGTCAACTGTGCTGAAGTTGAGAAAATCTGAATTAAAGGTTAGTTTAAGTTTCCAAGGCATTATTTCTGTACTGCGTACAGAAAAACTTCCAGGTCAAGAGAAAGGATATAATAGAACAATAAAAAAAATAGTACCAGTTTAGATGTCTATAGGGTTTATTTGAAGCTAGATACAATTGTCTGTTTTCTATAGGTGTGAAAGCTTAGATTTATAGAGAGATATGGAACCTTTCCCAGGGTATCTGGCAGTGATGAGGCAGGCCTGTGGTTTAGGTGTCTGTCTTCTGCTTTAGTCTTTCTGTCTCAGAAAAATTGTACTTCAGTGAAGTTGTCAACCTTATAACAGCTAAATGTGTTTGCTGTGAAGCAACTTTGGGGGCCTTTTCAGTTTGCTTGACCCTGTTAAAGATGTTTTCCAAGCTGTTCAACAGTAGACAACAAGGTGCTCTCAAAAGAGCAAGGAGAAAGTGTGCAGAGCAGGACAGTGACTTCGTGGTCTTTAACTGCTCAACATGTACTTTGTTTCTTTGGGTTGAATAACCCCTCACTAAAGAAAAGCACTTGGATCTTAGAAAATGTGTTTCCCAGATTCCCATTCTCTTGTTTTCAAAGACATGACAAGTCTAAGCACAAGCTCTGTCTACAGAGCCTTATTATTTAGTTTGTATGCACTGACTTTGTTAGGACATAAAGCACATATGTGTATCAAATAATTTGACATTTTTATGGTAATTTATCATACAAATACCCCAGTGATGAAATAAAGGCTAGATTATTCTAACCCCATTTTATACAAGGGAAACTAAGGATCCAGAAAGTTTAAATCGATCATTCATTTGTTTACTCACACATGCATTTAGCAAATATTTATTGAATGCATACCATGTATAGGTCACTGTATAGAGCATTATAACCTCTAGAGAATCTAATTTGGGATAAAGAACTTGAGTTAAGATCACCCAAATCCTAAACTAACATTATTTCTGTATGTAGTTCTGATCAATACACTAGAATTATGGTTTAAATATTAAGTTATTAAAAATGTATACTAAGGATTTATTATGTGCCAGAGACTCTCCTAAGTACTTTACATGCCTTATCTCATTTAATCCTAGAATAACCCAATGAAGCAGGCCCTGTCACTGTCATCTTTTGTGCAGATAAAGTCAATGAGGCTCAGAATGATAAAATAGTTCGACAGTGGCCTAGCCATATTTTCATCTGTTACTGGACTCCAAAGGCGGATGGCTTAACCATCTCATTATACAATCTCATCTCTTCTGTTCCCCGGACTTTGCCTATTTCTCATCTCTTCTACTCTGAACAAAGCGTAGCCAGGATGCTCCCAGCCTGATATTATTCCTAACAGTCATTAGTTATTCTAAATTGCAAATACCACTGGACATGCACCTTCCTTGGAGATAAAGGAAAGGCAGGTTTGGAGAGCTGGTTTCACCTGCCACGGTTTGTACTTTATGCCACAAGCCTTTTCAAGAAACAGGAATGTTGTAGTTCTGCTACTCTCTGGAACTCAAGGTGGTAAGCTAGCATCCAGGTCAGGAGGATGAGAATTGCAATTGGTCGCCGTGCTGTGCACAGGTGACCAGGACAAGTTTTAGGAGAAGTAACATAGGTGTATGAGCATGTGTATGTGTGTTTATACGTGCCTGTTTCTATGTGTCTGCTATTTTCACCTTTTGGCTTTTTAAATAGTTTCAGTTTTTCATTCAAGGAAGATCAGAAATCCAAAGGTGATTGGCTGCCCTCAAGTATCTCATCATTATTGTTCTAAGTTGGAAAAAAAGAGAGGCAGCTACAGAAAAGAAACTGCACTGAAATTTGAGAGTGTGCATGTAAGCAGTGTGTGTATATATATGTATTGAGTGTGTGTGTGTAAAATTATGTGTATATATGTATATATGTGTGTATATCTATCTTAATGTGTATATATATCTATATCTATACATATGTATACATACATAAACAAAGGTCATAGTTTAAAACTTTGAAATTCTGTGTTTGGGGAACTTTTATTATTACAATTTATATTTGGTTTCCTAGATAGTCTAATATAGTTTTGATTTCCAAAATTCTCTTCTACTATGAGTGTATGTATTTATTTATGGTACAGAGAATATGAACAAATACCTAGATTTAGCATCTATGGATACAAAACTAAACAAAAGTGCTTTTAAATAAATGACAAACTTGTAAAGATTGGCTTTCTTATCCAAACCATTTCTTAGAATTTCAAGCTATGTGTTTTTAAACATGTTCATTCCCCCCCCACCAAAAAAGCCCACCAAAAAAACCCAAATAACACCCCCAAATGAATAGTGATAATGTTTAGGAAGAAAAGAAAAAGAAAATGTAGGTGTATGACAAATCCAATGGCTATTGCCCAAATGGTACTTCACTTACCTATTGGTTAATTTACTATCTCCTTATTGATTTTACTTTATCATTCATGGAGTGCTCTGTGTGCTTACATGATTTGTAGGTGGAGCTAATTATCTGTTTAATTATTTAAAGTTATAGTAAATAATTTATAATATGTGTATTGTAAATAGATACTAAAGGTGAAGGGCACAATTTAATCATTATCACTTTCTATTCTCCCTTTAATGTTGTTTATACAAAACCAAAACAGTTACTCAAAGAAGGAAGCATATAGTCAAAGAAAAGAAAACATTACTTACCTATTTTGACATCCTATACACATAATAACCAAATGACTGAATTTTGGGCACTCTTTTTTTTCCTTTTATTTTATCATCTTATGGGGGTACAAATATTGTTAGGGTTACATATATTGCCCCTGCCATTCCTCCCACTGCCCCCTGCCTTACCAAAACATCAAGCATGCCCTACCCCCAGGTATACCGTAAGTGATGTTCTCACTCCTAGTGAGAACTTTGCATATTATTGAATAATGTGAAAAGTGTTTAAAGTCAACCTATGCAAACAGAGATTCCCCGGTGCTCCTTGGGATCAGTTTGTATGCACACGAGCCCATACCTTCAGAAACCTAGTCTGGCTCCCAGCCCAGGGCTCAACTCATAGTCCAAGCACAGATTTCTCCTCCCAGGGATCCGTTAGGGGTGCCCACACACCAGAAGCACTTGTAAACTAATCAGGTATGGTTGTTGCACTTTTCTGTAAGCCCCCTGCAGATGTGGTCTTAAAAGCATAAGAAATAAAATCATTTTTTAAAGCAATTAAATGTTATAATTAGGTTTAAGAACACCTGAAGGAGTAATTATTCTTCCTCCAAATTTTGGAGCAGAGATGAAGTTTTACATCATCCTGACTTCAAGCTCCCCTGTCATTTCCTTTCATTTATTTATTTTTAATTCCAAAGGAGAATATTAAATCAGGAGACTTTGTCTTAAAACATTCTGCCTAGTCTAGAGAAGGAAAAGCTAATGTATTTTTGTAAATCATGTCTTATGGGGAAGTGGGGGTGCCCAAACCCCTCATTAATTACTCTAATTTTTCTGTAAGGAAATGGATTCATGGATTACTGGAAAGGTATCATACTTCAAACACACAGAAACATAAACTTAGGAGAGCCACATTTCAGTGAGTCTCAGTGAAAATTGTTAATGGGATCTGCTTGAAATGGGTCACCCCTTACATTGGTGATGGTGTCCGGCTTAGTCTGTAAAATCTTGTTGGCTGAAGGAAGTTAATGATCCTGACTGAATTCCTGTTCCTGGTATCTTTCAGTACTGGTAGAGCACTGGGTCAAACCGAACACACAAAATAATTTGTCCTAATTAAATCTACATGTTTAAATGATATCAGAGCCACCCTTAATATTTTTAAAGTTAAAGACCTTGTTGATCAGGTTACCTGGAGATCTCCAAATATGTTTTACCAGGGATTATCAAGCTCCTCTTAACATCTGTCTCTGATACTTTGAATGTGATGTCACTACAGATTGGAGGAGTCTAAATTTTGCTGGTACTAAGACTGGGGCCTTGCTCATGTTACTTTTTCCTGACCTCATTCAAGCACTTGATGACTTGGGTCAGTTTGTTGCACATTGATGTATAACAAGTGACACCCACTGAAATTACCTCTTTTCCTTTCCAATGCAGTTTGCTTGTACATAAGTGTAACGTCAAATTGTTTACAGGTTCTTTTTGTGTGTAATTGTGATAGCATATTTAGCTCAATCTTTAAAGGAATTTGTTTACTGAATGGTGTTAAAATGAATGTGCTTATTACAGTATAAACATCATTAATTATGGACTCACATGAATGCATGTCTACATGTCGTCAATTTCCAGCAGCTCGGTTATTCAGCAGCAAGTCTGCAGTCTGTGAATAGCAAATATACATAAACTAACCTACTGTGACTCTAATAACGCAGTAACTGTTTTTACCTTGGTATGTAACACTGTAGATCTTAGCCTGCTGTATTTCTTTCTTACCTATTTGTTTTTTCGAGAAACGTGGTAAAAGATAGTTCTACTAATTGTCCCAGTAGAATTGCACAGCATTTTGGCAATCATTGGTCCACTCAAAAGGCAACTGCCTATGGATGGAACAACAGCCCTGAGCAACATATAAATGTATACATACATATCTATGTATGAAATGTCTACAATGCTAATTATAATACTACCATCTATTCTCACTGCCAATGGAAACAAACTACTATTTTCTTTGGAATTACTGATGGATATAAAAATTAATTTGATATATTCTGTTTAGTTCTTATAGTATGGTAAATGATACAGGTGCAGTATCAGTATTGTAAAATTGTATGGTGAAAACTACAAAAGTCATTCTGTGGATATATTTTAAAAGGCAGAACAGAAACTATATTTCAGATTCTTGTGTGAATATAATTACAAAAATAGGTAACTATTTTTATGTGTTTCCATAAACTACTCCATTTCATATACATTGTAATTTAGCACCAATCATAATAAATCATTTGGTAAAAGTTGTTATATATATATCTATTTTCAGCATACATAAGAGAATGATGATTCAATATTATTCTATGCTAACTCAAGAATTTTGGATGAAAGATAATTACCATTGCAATTAGTTTATTTCTGGTTTGTTGTGGTAGCTTGCTGAATTTAGGTACAAAAAAGGAGGAGACTTAATGATTTGGTTATTTAATATACTTAGAATGAAACTGCAGCGGGTAGAAGCCCTGCCTCCACCTCCTGTTAGTTGGGTGACTTTGTGCTATTTATTAAACCTCTTTCAATCCCAGTGTCTTCATCTGCAAATAGGAAATAAAAATAATAGATATTTCATTTGGTTCCCTTGAGGATTAAATTATATAATCCCAGTAAATCACTTATCACAGTATTTAGCACATTAAATAGATGCTTAATAACCCCCATCCATTCTTATTACTATTATCTAAAAATGCAAATTTTGAAGAGGAATTTTGTTTCCACATTCCAAATATCTGAATATATTTTTTGCCTATTTAGCCTTTCATGACATTGCCTATAGTGCTAAGCATTCAGTATATTTTTTAATCAAAAGCAAAAATTATGCAGAGAAAAAAAATGTACAGCTTGAAGGAGCTTTAGAAATGATTTAGCCTTTTTCTGCTGTGGAGCATGTTTGGAAGAATACTTGTTCCATGATATGTGCTGAAAAAATGGAGGGAATTGGACAGTGTACAGTTTGAGAAATATAACCTCTCTTACACATCCCACTTTGTGCTTTTTAAAATGTCCTTTGTCATATTTAAAGCTCTGTGAGTTTTGCAGCAAAGAAACTTTCAAACTTTATTTAACCCTCAGTCTCCCAGACATCTGTCACAAAGGATGCTTCCAGTTTTGAGGAAGACACTTTGGGAGATGCTGATTTAATCCGATCCCTTCCTTGTACAGGACAGGAAAGCTGAGAACCAGAGAGGGGTAGGAGTTTGCTGAAGCTTTGGTGGTCCTGGGCCTGGAACCCTATCTCTGGATTCAGGCTCGGAGACTTTCTTCTAAACCACTCTCACATGAGTGACTGGCAAGAGTAACAACATTGCTTTGAAGAACTCTTCAAAACTCACAACATCCATCCTACATAGACCCAAAGTAAAAAGTCACATGAGGCACTGAAATCCAAGCGGGAAAATGGTACGCATCTGGTCTGTAGGAATCCTTGCTTAGACTCAGTTACCCCAGAGATCACTCCAGAACCAGGTGGGGTGTAGGGTCTCCTTTGCTTCCATCAGGTGTTCAGCAGAGATAGTCACTTCTGTGACACAGACACTGGGTCATGCTGACTGTCAGCCCACCAGAGGAACAAGCTCAGATAAACCACAGTTGGGGAGGGCTTAAAGAGGAATTTTTCTATGAATTCTTATGTGGGAGGCTGTAAGCTTTCCTCTAAAAAACTTAAAAAAAAAAAAAAAGAACAAAACCTGTGTTGAGAAATCGTAGAGTTATAACCTCCAAAGCCCCAGAAATTGCTTAAGTAGAGCCCGGATTTCATTAGGTTCAGGTCATGGGAAAGGCTTTTCCTTCACTGTTCTGGAATGGCATAGACAAGTACACCGTGAAAATCAAGCAGAAAAGCTGGCTGCAGGCTTGCAGGGTATAGCCTTCAAGGATGAGCAGCAAGAAGGAATTTGTCACTTTTGTTCTGCCTAGGATAGCAGCTAGTTTCTCCGCAAAGCGAGGGTGCTGAGATCATTCTCTACATCCTCTTTGATATGGGTGGTGAGGACACAGGCTCTGCTTCTACTTACCTGGGAGCCTGGGTGGAAAAGAGGGTGTGTGGGGAGCCCGGGGTGTGTGATCCAGATGGTGGATCAGGAGAAAGATTTTCCTTGAGCTCTTTGGAGATATTTGGGTAGAATATTTTCTCTTCTGTCTCAGCACAGTAGTTACTATGAGCCAGCGACTGCACACAACCACTGTCCAAAAACTCATCCTTCTGACACATTGAGTTGAGCAGGACTTCATCAAAAAACGAGGGTAGTGAAATAAGGAAAAACACCAACTTCTCAGACAATACGTCTTCCCTCCACTTTCAACCCAAAGGCAGCATTCCTTCCCACACCTACAAAACATTTGGAGCCCCCATCAATCTCTGCTCCAATGGCAGCTGCCACTGAAACAGGTCACAATAGTCCTTTCCCAACAGGAGCTAATATAATAAAAAACCCAAGCTAGGCAGAACAGGTTCAGCCTTACGTAAGCCAGCCTCACTTTGCAAAGCTTAAAAATAACAAAGACCCAGCAGGGCAGGTTTTTCAAACACTCAGAACCTCAGTGAGCTGCAGCTGCACCTTAGGGACCTCTTTCTTATTCTTAGCTACCATGTCATGAGAGCACCAGAAAGAAAGTCCAGGGACTAAACTAAGTCTTCGACTTGTTCTCTTGCTTCTGACTCACCCTGTGCGCTATCTTTAGGGTACCAAGAAACAGAACACCCTATGGAAGTTGAAGATAACTGGTGTTTTAAAGTGGTGTTGCTGTTCTGAGTGACGAGGTCTGAGCTCAAACGTGCTGTCCAAGCTGGATACGAAGAAATTAAATCTGACATCTCCAAGACATAAACTCACAAAGCCGTGTACACACCTCCGCACACAAATAAAGCTTTTCTTCTCTCATCCTCCCGACTCTCCACTTTTTTTCTACGCATTTCTCTTTCTTTCTTTCTACCCTGTTTGCTCTTCCTGAGTCTGGAGTAGAGTGAATACATTCAACAAACCACAGCACCCTTACCTGACAGCACCAACCCCTTGGCTACACACGCTGCTCTTGAGGCCTCAGTTTCTTCATCAGATATGTATATAAGGACTTTGAAGGAGATGGTTCTTGGATCATTTTGCCATCCCTCTTCTCTCCTAGCTTTTACCTAGGCCCTAGCTAGTCTTCTAATTGGAGGAAGGAATGGGGCACAGGGAGGCTTTGGTAATTCCCACAGGTTGACCATTCTAGATTATCTCTGTCTGAGATGATCAAATAGCAGGTCCATCTAGAAGAAAACAAAGGATGAGGAGGAGGTGAGTTGGGTGTTGTCTCAGCCTTTAAACTGTGTTGTTCCAAAGTGACTGTGAATGGATGAGCTGGCTTCACTCTTCCACCCGGGGGTGGAGTGGAGGCCCATGCCCTTTCCCTGTGAATTTCTGCACGTGCCCAGTTTTGATGAATCATGGTCTGCATTGCTCAGAGCTGCCCCTTTTGTCTCAGCAAGTCCGGCATGAATTTCTGCTGTATCTCCAACATGGATAAGTGGGAAGGGATTGGAAGGGTGGGAAAGAAATGAGCATATTGGAGTTGGAGATGAGAAGTGACACAGTTGGCAGCCAACTGTTCCTTCTCCCCTTGCCCCTGGGAAAAAAGTGGCTCTTAATACCTAGAAATAATAAGCTGTCAGATTTTTTTTAAAAATAAGGGAATGGATGCCCTACTCTCTCAACCACCTGATATGAACAAATGTGAAAGAGTATGAGGAGGGAAAGAGATGTTGATAACAATCAAGTCTGTGCACCTGAGGCATAAGAGAATATTTTCCTACTAGAGAAAATGAAGAGCATGATAATTGCTTTTAGCTACTCTTTAGGGAGCTGCTACTCATGGGTCCCTCTGCAAAGGCCAGGCTTCATGCTCACAGTGGGATGAAGTCTACAATGTTCTCTGGTACCTTAAGATTGGCAGCGAGTATGCTTGTTTATCTCAAATTTCTGAAAGCTGAAGCAAAATTTGGAGATTTGTAAAGTATTCCTTCATTTTCCTCTTCAAGTACCTTGCATTGAAATTTATGATGCTTTGAGGAAGTGCTGAAAATATGACAGATTAAAAGTTAACAAAATAGAGCCATGTCCAGTGCAGTTGTTCTGCATATTTTTACTACTCTTTTATTAATAAATGTCAACCAAAGACAAAAGCATACAAGGATGTCTTCTTGTTTGAATGGGGAAAATTGATGATTTTCTGGTTTATGACATGCAGGCACTATAGATCCCAACCCATTAGTCCTAAGATGGTGAAAGCTCCCAAACAGAGCAAGGCCCCCAAGTACATGGGTCCCACTCAGATCCAAGGAATCCTATAGGTAATCTAACAACCTTAAATGCAGAGCTGGTGGAAGTCTTAGCATAAGTGCAGAGCTCTGAGAATGTATCCTTTTAAAACGTGAGAAAAAGAGCAAAACGACAAGAGGTCAACCAATTATATATCCCACAGGTACAAAGCCTTAGGATATTTCTCATAGACTCAACTTCATTGACCTGACCTCATAAATTTTCCCTTCCTCCAGATAGTTCACTCTATCTGACACTATTGCTCTTTGTTCTAATTATCTTATTGGGATTTCTCAGAGTCAACCGATAAAAGAGGCAGAAAATAGGCAGCAAGGAGTCAGAGTGAAATAGGTTAAGGGAAGGGAAGGCAAAATACTATGGAGGTACAAATGTTTTTGGTTACATGTGTTCATTTTGTTATGCTTGTGGCAAGGTTGTAAGTGGGCCCATCACCCAGATAATGTTCATTGTACCTGTTAGGTAGGTTTTCTTCCATCTCCACCTCTCCTATCACTGCTTGATTTCCACTGAGTTTTACGTCCCTCTGTGCTCATGTGTGCTCCTCAGTTAGTTCTGATTTAATAGGGAGTACATACAGCATTTATTTTTCCATTATTTACATACTTCACTTAGGATAGTGGTTCCATCCAAATTGTTGTGAAAGGCCTTAATTCACCCTTCTTCATGGCTGAGTTATATTCCATAGTATACATATACCACATTTTGTTAATCTACTCATGAATTCATGGGTACTTGGGTTGATTCCACATTTTTGGAATTGTGAATTATGCTGCAATAAACATTTGAGTGCGGGCGTCTTTTGGATAAAATGACTCCTTCTCCTTTGGGTAAATACAAAGTAGTGGGATTGCATGACCAGATGGCAGGTCTACTTTTAGTTCTTTGAGGAATCTCCATACGGTTTTCCGGTTTTCCATAAAGGTTGTACTAATTTGCTGTCCCGCCAACAGTGTGTAAGCATTCCTTTCTTTCTGCATCCATGTCAGCATCTATCATTATTGGACTTTTTAATAAAAGCAATTCTGACAGGGGTAAGGTGATATCTCATTGTGGTTTAAACTTGCATTTCCCTGATATTAATAATTAGTGATGTTGATCATTTGTTTTCATATGTTTATTGGCCATTTGTCTATCTTGTTTTGATATTCTCATTTCTCTTCAGATTGTATCTTCTTTTAAAAAGCTTTTGTTCATGAATTTTGCCCACTTTTTAATGGAGTTGATTTTTTTCTTGTTGATTTTCTTCAGTTCTTT